GACTTTGAACTTAAAGTTTGCAGATAAATTAACTTCTTCTCTTACTCTTTGTCCTTACGTTTCTCCTTCTTCATCTTCTTCTCAAGCTTTTTATCATGTTTTTCTAAGCAAGTAAGTTCTTGCTCATGTTCTTCTAGCTTTCCAAATAAATTTGTGAGATCAAGTGTTTTAAGATCATTCGCTTCTTTGATCACAATTACCTTGGGTTGTCATTCCCTATTAAGATACCTCAAAACTTTATTAGTAGCTATACCATTGGAGATAGGATTTGAGCCTTCAAACGATTTATAAGATGTGTGAATCTCTTTTGCATGTCAACAATGGTTTCACCATACTTCATGCGAAATAGTTCAAACTCTTGATTTAACATATTGATCCTAACTTGTTTGACCTCATTAGTTCCCCAGTGGGCAACTTCTAATGCGTCCCACATAGCTTTGTTAGTCTCACAATGAGAGACACAATAATTTTCATCAACGCCAAGTGCAGATATGAGAATATTTTGTGCCTTCCAATCACGTTACTATAATTTCTTATCATTATCATCTCATTGTGCTTCCAGTTTTTGTACGACGACACCTTGAGCATTGGTCATTGTAATTTGATTATGACCATTGATAATGATGCCCCATACACCCTTATCAACCGAGTTAGTATTGATACAGATACAAACTTTCCAATAGTCATATTTTTCACTGGTAAAAATATGTAGTCTACTGTACACCACTTTAGGTTTGATAGCTATTTTCTAATGAGTGAATATTAAAGCACAAAATAAAATGAAGCTCGTGAAACCACTTTTTAGACGAATGCAACTTATCTAGAGGGGGTGAATAGATCCCCAATAAAAATTTTATTTACAAAAACTATTTTAAAAAACAATGGCTTGCGGAAGTGACTTGGATCAATTCGTCTAAACCAAACCGCTATCAAAAAAGTCAGATATGCGTATATGAAAATCAATCGAAGATAATGAGAAGCAATTCAATCAATATGTTTCAATCATAATTCCTTAAAAGCTAACCACCAAGTAATGCCATATTCAATGATAAATCACCAACAAAAAAAAATACAATGAGGCAAATAATTGAACACCTTGTGTGCAATCGATTTTGTTTGGAAAATTGTATTATTTTGTTGATCTTAAACTCCAACCACGATCTAAAGGATTGTGATCAACTCAACAAAAAAAATTTCAAGTGATTTTCAAAAGAATTTACCAAACGAATTAATCGCACAAATGATGAACTCAACAATTTGCAAATGAAATGTAAGAGGGAGAGAGAGAGAGAGAGAGAGAGAGAGAGAGAGAGAGAGAGAGAGAGAGAGAGAGAGAGAGAGAGAGAGAGAGAGAGAGAGAGAGAGAGAGAGAGAGAGAGAGAGGGGGGGGGAAGATAGAGAAAGAGAGAAAGAGAGAGAGAGAGAGAGAGAGAGAGAGAGAGAGAGAGAGAGAGAGAGAGAGAGAGAGAGAGAGAGAGAGAGAGAGAGAGAGAGAGAGAGTACACACATATTTGTTTAGGCAGTTCCTTAGTCGGCCTTGCTATGAGTACATCTGCTATCAATTCGAACTCGAATTGAGATAGTGAAATTAACCTTGCTTTGCAAACTGTAGTTTATAAGAGAAATGTAGCAGTGAAACCCTACAAACCATATGTTTGATGTTGATCCTAATACTTTCTTTTCCCTTGATCTGAGCTTGATTCAATCACCTAATAATACCGGCTTTATTCACTGTCTTACACTACTCCTTTGTAAGAACAGTCGTTCTTCAAAGCCTTCACTCGACTGAAGGTTGTAACCTAAGATTTACCAATTTAATTCACAGTCTCACGCCACTCCTTGGCAAGAACCTTCTGCTCTTAAAAGCCTTCACTAAGTCAAATCCAAATATGTGTAATCTTGTCTAAAACATTCAAATCCCCACTTTGATCTTGAAGGAAAACCCCATATTGGCTTTCTTATTTGAAAACCCCCAAAGATCTCAATCTAATTTACAATACCACAATTCAAACTAGACATTATCAACTTGATTCTATATGGCACCCAAACGATGAATGATTATGCATACTTTGTTTGTATGTATGCATAAAATCAAGGTTGAAGATGAAGAAAACTCTTTGTATATTCCATGTTTCATTTATGATTTTACCAAAATCTTTGAAAAGGAATTATGCATGTATGAAGTATTAATATGTATGCATGTTTAAAAGCAAAAGGAATGCAAAATAATTGAAAAATTTGTGAATTTTTGGAAAAATACATTGCATGAGTCGACCTATGTAAGTCGTGAGCTGGCATATAAAGGTCATATATCGACCTGAACAGGTCATGTGTCGACTTGTATAAGTTTGTTTTGACCTGTAAAGGCGGCACATTTAACAAAGCATAGAGACTTTAAAAATACAATACATGTGCCGACCTGAAAAACAGATATGTCGACTCATAGAAAAAAATTTCTTCTATGTGCCAACCGGAAACATGTATGTGTCGGCACATAGGTTATTTTTCCCATAAAACTTGTTTTTGATGCATTTTTTATGCATGAACCTTTTCCAAAATGTTTTTATGCTTCCTAATGCTAATATGCACATTGAGAATCAGAGGATACCATCAAATATACATCAACACTAAAGCATCATAGTTTTGACATCATGCAATAAATCTAATGGAAAGTTGCACTCACGCCTCTTGGGACCAGTGGATTCCCATATCAGTTTAAGATGATATACCTCTTGAAAAATATCAGCCCGATTTGCATTGAGTGGGGTAAAGTTCTCGATGAAGTTGTCATATGGCCTCTGGGAAGGTCTTGCCGCCGACCTTTCCCTTGGACCCTGCCTATGGTGCTCTTTCTTGGGCCTGAATCCTTCATGCCTAGATTGTGTCTTTTCTTTAGCATCTCGGGACCTTTTCTCCGTATTAATTTCTTCCCCCTTGATATAACATTTTTCTCTATTCATTACTTTCTCTATGTTGGTGGCTGACTTTTGTGCTAATGATTCATTGAAGTGATTGACTTTTAGACCGTTATGGAAGGCTCCCATGAACATTTCTTGATTTGGATGAGAGAACTTTATAGTTTCTTCATTGAATCATGCCATATATTCTCCGAGGGACCCGAAGGTCCCATGGCGAACATTGAACAAGTTGGTAGTGGTCACCTTTTTGTATTTGTTGGCAGAGAAATGTTGCATCATCTTCCTAGTTAGATCCTGGTAACCGGTGACTGATAATCTGGGCAGGCTCATGTACTAGTGTAATGCCACGTCCTTGAACGTTCCTGCAATAAGTTTGTGTTTTAAGGAGTCAGAAACCCCGACTATCTCCATTTGATTGTTAATTGAGATTATATAATCTTGTGGATCACTTTTGCCATCGAAGGATGGCAAGGGTGGCAGTTTGAAGTTTTTTAAGACCTGATTGCCCTAAAATTTCCTCTACAAGAGGTTGAGGATTAAAAATATCATCCTCGTATTCAGCTTCCTTAGTGCTCTGTAACTGTTGAAGCGTGTGGACACTTTCTTGCAACGATTCGTTCTGCTGGCGCAAATTCTCTACAATTGTAAGAAGTTGTGCCATGTCCGGTGGAGTGCGAGATTCACTAATGCTAGGAGATGATCCAGACATGGTGTTGCCATGGTGAAATGTATTGTTTTTGGAGGCTTGAGAAAGTTTTACCGAAGCCCACGGTGGGCGTCCAATATTCCTAATAAATAATATTTGGTTAACCTCTCCGAAGAGAGTCAAGTAAGATCACAAACGTATTGTATTGTGGTGGTAATTGTTGTTTGTCCTTCTTCCCCTCGATGAAAAACCTTTTTATACTAGTCTTCAATCTCTTATATCATTAAGAAGTGGCTCTTCAAATTCCATGTTAATGACAACCATAACATATGTCGCTCTCATTACTATTCTGTAACGTTTTCTTGATGATTTTCTGCAACTCCTTTGGGACCTTGTGGCTACCAAATAACCATTATGTAGATCTTGCACGTCGCCTACCCACATGTCTCTTGCAAGTCAGGTTCCGACTTGCTCCATCCTCGACAACTCTGCAATTGTCATTTTTCTTAAATATTCGGCATAATGGCTTCCCATACTCGACCTTAATGGCTCTATAACTCTGACATTTAAAAATTCCGAAATATACAACACTAAATCACATATGTAATATGTTATTATTTGTTTGATGTTTTTATAAATTAATATGCAATTTGTGGTCATTTTCTCACATTCTATGACAGTTGTGATCTTTTTATATTTACAAATATATGTCATTTTATTTTTAATCCTTCTCATTATTTTAACATTTTACAAGATTTATTTATATTGAGATTCATCTCTTCTAAATGAATATAATATTAAAATTAATAACATATTTTAAGAAAAAGGAAAAGGGGTTCTAATAATTCAGACTTCGGACTATGAGATCATAAGTCTAGAAATTCAACTTAATAGTTTTCGAATTTTCTTTTATGAGAAGAAGCTGATTTAAATATATTGGTGTAGTTACAAATAACAATTAAAAATAAATAGATTATAATTACATTGAAAAATATAATGGTGCATACGAATATATTTACTTTGTTTAACAGCATCTTTTATATTTACTCGACACTCAATTTATTTGATTATTATCAATTTTCTCCTTACCCGAAAACCCTAGCACCTGCTTCAACGTGATTCCACCATCTCAGACTCAACACTTCCGCATCAGTTCCAGTTTCGGAGTTCCGTTCAAATCGCCGAGGTACATTTCTTCGTTAAATTGCACCGTTACGCACACTAGTTTTCTTCAATTCCATTGCCTACACTCTATCTATGTATATTCTCGAATTTGTACCGGTTTGCATCTTGAATGAATGAATGAATGAATTTATCGTCTAGGGTTTAGAAATTATATGCTTATTTTTTGTTTTGTTGGTGAATTATGAATTCTGTGCTCTACAAGTATAACGCTGCTGGTATTTATGTGTGAATTTGTTTTTCAGGACAAAGTAATGGATGAGGGAAAACATAAATCGAGAAAAGAAGATGGTGATTCTAAGAGGAGTCATCGTGATCGAGATCGCGAGAGAACGGGTGAAAGAGGCAAGGATAAGGATAGAAGTGATGGTAGGCATAAGGATAATAGGGAGAAGAGGGATCGGGAATCGCGAAGACATGATAGAGAGAAGAGTACTGATTCTGATGATAAGCATGATAGAGAGAGGGAGAAGCGGAGGGATGTTAAAGAGAAGGATAAGGCACGGGTTCATGATGTTGATAGGGAAAAAGTGAGGGATAGGAAGAGGGAAAGGGATAGGGAAGAGAAAGAAAAGGAGAGAGTGAGGGAGAAAGAAAGAGAAAGAGAAGAGAAAGAAAAAGAGAGAGTGAGGGAGAGGGAAGAGAAGGAAAAGGAGAGAGTAAGGGAGAAAGAAAGAGAAAGAGAAAGAAAGGAGGATAAGGAGAGGATTAGAGAGAAAGAAAGGGTAAGGGAAAGGCGGGATCATGAGAGAGAGAAGGAAAAGGAAAAGGAAAAGGAAAGAGATAAAGGGAGGAGAGGACGAGAGAGGGAGAAGCATAGAGATGTTGATAGTGAAAACAGTGATGGTGAGTTGAGAGAGAGAAATCGGAAGCGACATAAGAAAGAAGACGAGGATTATAAAGGGAAAGAGAAGGAAAAAAGTTCTAGCAAATCAAACAGGAAAATTGAGGGACTTGATGCAAGCCCTAGAAGAAAGAGTGACGGGGATGACTCGGATTCTAAAGACAGAGAAAAAAAACTGACCCGTGAGGAGGAGATGGAAGATGAACAAAGGAGGTTGGATGATGAAATGGAAAAGCGGAGGAGAAGAGTTCAAGAGTGGCAAGAGTTAAGGAGGAAGAAGGAAGAGGCGGAAAGAGAAAAGCAAGGTGAAGCAAGTGCTGCTGAACTTGAGTCTGGAAAGGCATGGACACTTGAAGGGGAGGAATCTGATGATGAAGAAGGAACAGGTAAACATACTGCTATGGATGTAGACGAAGACGACAAACCTGCTGATAAGGAACCTATGGAGTCGATGGTGGTAGATGTTGACAATGGAACAGTTGCGCCTGATTTACAAAATGGAGATACTGGTGCTCCTTCAGACGAGGAAATAGACCCATTGGATGCTTTTATGAATTCTATGGTTCTTCCTGAGGTTGAAAAGCTGAACAATGCTGTTAACTCAACACCTTCTGATAAAACTTCTGACTTGAAACCCAAAGATAAAGGGGGCGACCGTAGTAATGGCGGACAGTCAAGGAAAGGTTCAAGTAAATCTATTGGCAGGATAATTCCTGGCGAAGAGTCCGACTCAGATTATGCAGATCCTGAAACTGACGGGGATCCAGTAGAAGAAGATGATGACGAGTTCATGAAAAGAGTGAAGAAAACGAAAGTTGAAAAACTTTCGATAGTTGACCACTCAAAGATTGACTATATACCATTCAAAAAGAATTTCTATATTGAAGTGAAGGAGGTCTCAAAAATGTCTCTTGAAGAAGTTGCATTATACAGGAAGCAGTTAGAGTTGAAGATACATGGAAAGGATGTGCCCAAGCCTGTAAAGTCATGGAACCAGACTGGACTTACAAGCAAAATTTTGGATACAATAAAGAAGGCGAACTTTGAAAAGCCAATGCCTATTCAAGCTCAGGCGTTGCCTGTAATTATGAGTGGCCGAGATTGCATAGGCATTGCCAAAACCGGGTCAGGTAAAACACTCGCTTTTGTTCTGCCAATGTTGAGGCATATCAAGGATCAGCCACCAGTTCTTGCAGGAGATGGACCTATTGGGCTTATTATGGCCCCTACAAGAGAACTTGTTCAACAGATTCACAGTGATATAAAGAAGTTTACAAAGGTAATGGGTATCAGGTGTGTCCCTGTCTATGGAGGCTCTGGTGTCGCTCAACAAATCAGTGAGTTGAAACGTGGTACTGAGATAGTGGTTTGTACTCCAGGTAGGATGATTGACATACTATGCACCAGTAGTGGAAAAATAACTAACCTGCGCAGAGTCACCTATTTGGTCATGGATGAGGCAGATCGAATGTTTGACATGGGCTTTGAACCTCAAATCACAAGAATTGTTCAGAATATTCGACCAGATCGTCAAACAGTTCTCTTCTCTGCTACTTTCCCCCGGCAGGTTGAAATTTTAGCTCGCAAGGTTTTGAATAAACCTGTTGAAATGCAAGTTGGTGGGAGGAGTGTTGTGAACAAAGATATTGCACAGTTAGTTGAAGTGAGGCCAGAAAATGAGAGGTTTCTAAGACTCTTGGAACTACTTGGAGAATGGTACGAGAAAGGAAAGATTTTGATATTTGTCCACTCACAAGAGAAATGTGATGCATTGTTCAAGGATCTACTCAGGCACGGTTATCCTTGTCTTTCTCTTCATGGAGCTAAGGATCAAACAGACCGTGAATCCACAATATCTGATTTTAAAAGCAATGTTTGCAATTTGTTGGTTGCGACAAGTATTGCTGCCAGGGGATTAGATGTCAAGGAGCTAGAATTGGTGATCAATTTTGATGTTCCAAACCACTATGAAGATTACGTACATCGTGTTGGGCGCACTGGTCGTGCTGGCCGGAAAGGTTGTGCCATCACATTTATTTCCGAGGAAGATGCAAGATATGCACCGGATCTGGTGAAAGCTTTGGAGCTATCTGAGCAGATTGTTCCCGATGATCTGAAATCCCTTGCCGATGGCTTTATGGTGAAAGTGACTCAAGGACTGGAGCAAGCCCACGGGACTGGTTATGGAGGCAGTGGCTTTAAATTTAATGAAGAAGAAGACGAGGTAAGGAAAGCAGCAAAGAAAGCTCAAGCCAAAGAATATGGATTTGAAGAAGACAAGTCAGATTCTGAAGATGAAGATGACGGTATTAGGAAGGCAGGAGGTGATATCTCACAGCACCCTGCTCTTGCTCAGATTATTGCTGCGACAAAAGCAAATGCTCCCTCAATGCCTACTCCCATCTCTGCAACCCAATTGATTTCAAATGGTGGGCTACCTGTTTCTTTGCCATCTGTTCTTGGTCTCCAGACTGCAACAGTCTTGCCTGGAACAGGGCTACCCCTTGCTACAAATGATGGGGCCGCTCGAGCTGCACTAGCTGCTATAAACCTGCAGCACAACTTGGCTAAAATACAATCTGAAGCATTGCCAGAGCATTATGAGGCTGAGCTGGAAATAAATGATTTCCCGCAGAATGCTCGCTGGAAAGTCACACACAAGGAAACTTTAGGCCCCATTTCGGAATGGACTGGAGCTGCCATTACCACTAGGGGACAATATTTCCCACCTGGCAAAGTCGCAGGACCCGGGGATCGTAAACTCTATTTGTTCATTGAAGGTCCTAGTGAGCAGTCGGTTAAGAGAGCCAAAGTAGAATTGAAGCGTGTTTTGGAAGACATCACTAATCAGGCTTTGCAACTACCTGGTGGAACTCAACCAGGCAAATACTCTGTTGTATAAAGGGTAAGATTCTGATATAATTGAGTTTAGTAATGCTTATTTTATTTTAGTTGCGGTTCTAAGATTTATGTTGAACACTTCTGAAGGGGAAAGTTGGCTGTACAGCTTATTATTTATTGATTTTGTAATCCTTTCTATTCGTAGCTGCCATATAATTAGTTGGAAACAATCCTTGGCTATGCCTTAATGGTTCGATTGATTCAGTGTTTTTTTATTTCTTCTTTAGGTGGATTCCTTTAGGTTCAGAACCTAGCATAAATAATATTTTCCAGGTTTAAGTTCAGAATAAACATGATATTTGTATAGCGATGCTCTTGTTTAGTTTTTTTTTATATATATTTTTTTATTTTTTATTTATTTTAATAATTGAGAAGTTCTGCAACCTAAGAGTAAATCTACTTTTGGTAGTCAACCTGAAGGCAAAATGAGACACTGTTAAACACCCTTGTCTTGCACCCCACTGCGGGACTAGTTGCTCATATGAATGCCTTTCTTGCCCATTCATTCACCTACAGGTATGAGTATTATCATGGAAAGTCCACCAAATTTTCTTCTTAATTTGGCATGTGTTTGCCAGTATTGGAAATTCTTCTAAATTATTATATTACTGCATACACCATCTGATGCTGTTATCTTTTTATTAAATTTTAATTGCACAAATTTTCTATCCTCTTCATTGTTTCTTCCTTGTTCTCTTCCTCTGTGATGCAGCTAGGTCTTTCAAGCCCAATCTCCTTTATTCAAATACCATTCCATCCTTGCTCTTGGTTCGTGGATGTCTAAGTTGCTGATCTTGGTGCGACTTTTTTCATCTCGGTCCTGCTTGATTTCAAGCTAGCATCCTTGAATCCCTGTTTGTTATTCCTTGTATTGAAGTTGTGAGATTTTATATTTGCCATTATGTGTTCCTTTTATCTGATTTTACGCGTGCCTTTTTTCAGGCTTTGGTTTGATGATATTTGTCTTGAAAAGAGATGCAAGATGTGATTGGGGAGATCACATGATTCAGTTTTTGTGTTTGTTCTTAGCTGCTATGATTTGGATTTCAGCACATGTACCTTAAAACATATCTTTATATCAAATTTACCATTTTGATTGATATGTTCATCATGACATCTAAATCATCGGTTTAGGCTCATAAAGTAGTCATGTCACTTGTAAGATCACTGGCTTTGCACTTACCCTTGTTTTTGGTGAATTCAGCAATTCTATATTTGTGTTGTAATTCCAAAGGGCGTTGTAAAATTTTATTTGGTTTGCTGAAAGGATTGTCATGAATTATTGATGAAAAAGCATCACATTTATTACTGGAAAGTCTGCATTATATATGCTTACCGGCCCCTTTTCCGTGGGTGTAGTAAATGTTTGTACATGCACATACAAGTAGAATATAGTGATATATAACATCTTAGTTAGGAGTGTTTAAGAATTGGATTGGTTTGGGAAAAGGAAAGCAGTTTGATTTACATTTATCCCATTTTTAATCACCTAGTTCGATTTACTTTGTGCTGGATGAAAGGGTTCACTTTGTTTGAACATTGCAGATCGAAGGATGCTTTCTCTTCCACTAAAACGAAGAACAAGACAACTGGTGCTTCTTGTGGCTTAGTTGTGCATAATCGTTCCAGAGACTTCTTCAATATATTTTACCTGATATTTTATTTTTTTATAATATCTGTTTATGTATTAGATTGGCAAATCATTTAGGACACAAGCTTTTGTTATGTTTGCATTGTGAACCGGTTGCATGTAAATCTTTGCAGTTAATGAAGGAAAGCTAACAAGGATTCTGTATGAGAGGAAGTGAGCATGCTAGTGATAAGATTCCTCGATTCAGAAAATAGACTTTGATGTTCAATCCACAAATTGTTTATGGTGGTATTCTTGGTTTGGTGATTAGATGAAGTGTATGTTTCCTCTCCTTTTGGGACTTAAGTAGTCTATGCATGGCATAGGAATTTTGCTTTACTAGCAATCTATATGGGGTTAGAGTTAAACACAGTTGCTCATTCTTTGTTAGACTTGTAAGATCAGCTGAAATAACATAGTGGAAATTATTAAAGAGCTTGACAAGGATTCACTTTTTAATCTTTGAACTTTCTGTTCTGTTCTCATGCCCAATGGTTATTGCTTGATGTCTTGGTACACATTTCATCTTTGTGTCAGACATTAATTTTACATTTCACTAGTGGTATCTGATTTCACCGCTGTTTTGTCTATATGCAAATTCTCATGATGAGCAGCTTTAATCACAGGAAACTTATCAAGATCTGCATTCGGGGGGATCTTGAGTTATAGACATAAACATACTGTTACCTAGTGTAAGGAAGAAAACGATAGCTTAGGAGTGAAAGTTTGACACAATACATTGGTGTTTTTTTTTTGTAGTTAATGTCTGTTCTTTCAACATCCCTAGTTAGATTAACCTGGATTCTCTGCGGTCATGGAATCTGTGACTGCTGGATCTATCCGTCAAAAACTAAATTAACTGTGTTTCTTTAAAATTTAAAGTTAGAGCCTGAGATTTGAACTGTCTGATTTTGATCAGACTGTCATAAATTTCCTGACTCTGAATGTATGCTGTATGCAGTCATTGACTGCAGGGAATTTTGCTTTCTAGTTAGATGTTATGCTTGAAGTTAAGGCTTATCCATGCTAACAATTGTTTAAGACGACTCGGAACCTAGGCCAAGTTCTGATTTGTGAACGTGATGGATTAGAGTGTTCTGTGCGTATGTCAAAGTTCTTGAAAAAGATCTGGTATCTTTGACGCAGTTGGCACATCTTGTTATCTTAATTTCTAACCAAGTAGTTGCTGTTCTTGTTCAGTAGTGCACGTAGTAACACACATGTTCTCACTTGAAACCTTGATTTGAATTAGCTATTGAGTTATGGAGGATTTTGGAGAGACTTAGGCATCTAAAATTGTCTTGTGTAAAAATGAATTTAATGAATGTCATGACTGTGTTCATCATTGCTCCAAAGTAGGGCTGACAATGAACCAAATCAATTTGAAGATAGTTCGGAATTTGACTCGACAATTAAATCGTTGAACTAGGTTCATGAACCAAATGAGTTGAATATGAGCGAAAAATTAAGTTCGTTAACTAAATGAGCTGAATTTGAACTATACATAGTTCGACTCGTTAGGTTCATGAGTCAACTCGATTACATATGAAAAGAATTATACTGTTTTTAAGATTAGGTTTAAATATTTACTTCAAATCTTAGACAAATTTAATCTTCAATTTAATAGTTTTTGAATTAGACTCTCAAATGCATCTCTTGAAAGTTGTGTAGGTTTTGAATTAGTAGATTTCGAAGATAAAGTTAAATATCAATATGATAACTTTTATTTTATTTTAAAAATATATATTTATTTAAAATGTCAAATATACTAAAAAATATATATATTTAAAAAAATAGTTTTTAAGTTCGTGAACCATATGAGCTGAACCTAATGAGATGAATCTAACGAGTCGAACCGAACTGTTCGTGAACTTATAACGAGTCGAGTTTGAGCTTAAAAAAAAGTTCGTGTCGAACTCGAACTCGAATTCGAATAATTCTTAACGAGTCGAGCCGAGCTGAGGTGAGTTCGACTCGACTCGATTCATTTTCAGCCCTACTCCAAAGACATACCACACTTGCAATGTAGTTTTTTGCCTAGACATATCATTAACACACCATTCTCAATACCTAGTGAATGTTAATGTGTAAACGTTTAGTAGTGATATAACTAATTTAGATCATGTGTTGCAGGGTACGACCTTAATATACGTATTGGTACTTAAATTTTAATCATGTTTAATGTAAGTTTTGAAAGGAAAAGCTTAATTTCCTAGTTACACTAATGACTGACCTAATTTGATGTTGGTTTGGCAAAAGCAAGGCAGAATTTATAGATTTAATTGCAAATTCAAGATGACGTGTCATTTACTCTGACTGAATATAGTGAATATAGTTTCACGTAATTATTGTCCATTTAAAATTAAATTATTTTAGTGGAAATTGCCGTTGCAAATTAACTCCAGTTTGTCGCTTTGGCCGCTCATCTTTGAAATGGAAACCTAACTTATGTTCTGAGGTATGTATGGTCGCACATCTCTGAAATGAAAAACTCAACTCGGTCGCTTTCATCTGATTGGTTTAATGATTATAAATGTCGTTTGAGTTCTTGTTTATACTTATGTCGTTTTGAAATGTGATTTTGTTCAGGGTTGTGATTTTGCGTTAATGTTGTGGTCCTTGATTTGATCATTATGAATATTTGTCTCTGTTATGTGATTTGTTTATGTTGTGGTCTCAGTAGTGTTAATGTGTTGTGGTCTGTTTTATTGTTGTGATTTGTTTATGTTCTGTTGTAGGCCATCTGATATCAAAGTTGTTAGACTTAGAGTACACTATCGGAGATATTTAGTACATAATCCAGTGAAGTTGTATGTTGATGGGCTTGTTTTTTAAATGAATTGGTATTGAGATGTAAACTTAATGTCTTATATGCAAATGGAAGAATTGATCAAAGTTGATGGGTATTGTAATATAAAAATGTTTATGGTATTGGAATCCTAACTTTTTCTTTTCTCGTAAACTTCGGCCTTTGAATAATGACAGCGATGTGTTAAGGTTCATGGAAGAAGTTAGAGGATTTGAAGTCATTGACGTTTATGTTGAACAGAGAGTTGAAGAAATTAATATTGAAGATGTTATTTTTTAGGAGGTTAATGGTGAAGAAGTTAATATTGAGGGAGAAAATGACAAAGTTAATGTTGAGGGAGTAAATGAAGAAGAAAATGTGGAGGTAGAAAATGAAGAAGTTAATAATGAGTGAATAAATGAAGAGAGTGAAACATATTCAGATTATAACATGAGCAGTGAGGATGACAAGGAAAACGAGGAAGATGACATTGGTGAGTTGAACTTAGGTCCTAATGTTGGTATTGATTGGACGACAATTCTCTCTAATGTTACAGCATAGCAACCTTTAAAATTGGATGTTA